CGGGCACAGCGCCTTGGGTCCCGTGGCCGTCCCGAGGGAGCCGGGTAGAGCAGTCCCGATTCACAGACGAGAACAGGCTTGGTGACATCTTCCCCAGGGTCCCAGACCAGGGCTTCTCCAGAGGCCTTTGCAGGCCCGGGGCAGCGTCAGGACAGCACACGGCCTCCCGCCAGCGCTCTGGCCACGTGGGCTCACGGCCCTGTCCTTGGTTCGACTCGGCACCCGCCACAAGGGGCCGACTCTGCCTTTAGACTCGCAGAAGAGGCCTCTTCAGGCGGTCCCCATGGGCACAGCCCCGGCCCTGCTCTTCCCCGCCACGGCTCGCCTCTCCCCGTGCGGCCGTGGCCTCAGGGACGGGGTCCAGCTGCGGCCACCGAGCTGGACGAGGCAGGCGGCGGGTCGAAGCCCCCTCACCTCCATGACTTGCTTTGGCTCCCAGGCCCCAGTGAGGAAGAGCGACCCCCACTGTCTGAGGAGAGCAGCAGCATAAACACCCGACAAGAGAAACCTGCTCCTCCGAACAATTTGGTCATCCTCCGGTCGAGGAATTAACTCCCCTGCTGCGTGGGCAGCCGCACAAAGGGCCGGCTTTCCCGACAAAAACTGAGCCGCGGCCCCGGCGCCCCCGGCGCCCCTCATCCGACCCTGCGACACAGGTCAGGTATTCTTGGCGCTTGGTTTTGGCCGCAGGCCCGCCCGCCGGCCCCTCCACTGTTGCTGATGGCTTCAGCGCACCGTTGGGTCTTTGGTGTGTCCTGGGAATGGATGTCCTGAAGGGGGGTCTTCAGCGGACCCCTCTTCCCTCTGTGCTGGTCAGAGCCCCTCTACCCACCATGGCAGAAGGAAGCCTCCAACCCCCGAGGGACCCCAGCCCCACCCAGGACGTGTCTTCAAGTGGAGCTTGTCCCTCTGTGTTCTCCTGTCTGCTCAGCCATCCAGGGGACCAGTGTCCCGTGTGCCCCCCGCTCCTCTCTGCCAACCGCTGAGAGATGTCAAGGGGCGGCCCTGGCTGCAGTCCAGAGGCCAGACCAGGGCTGTGGGCCCTCCAGAAAGGTCAGCACAGAGGACAAAATGAGCCCAGGCAGCCCGTCTTGGCTGAGTGCTACCCCAACACTGAGAGGTCAGGGTGAGAGGCCCCTGGGTCTGGGTGCTGCAGCGGCAACCCAGGGAGCTTTAGAAAGAGCCCCCTGGGGCCCTTGAGAGAGACCCCAGAATAAAGCAGGGCGGGCAGGCAGGTTGAAGAACAAGACCCAACCCAACAAGGAGCCGTTTGTGGAAGATGCAATTCTGCTCCTTTGGGGAGAGCGGCTGGCTATTGACTTGATATATTTATGCATGAGGGGGGCGCTTAGCAAAAAGAGGGATTAGCAAATTTACAAACTTCGTCATCGGTGTGTCTGCAGTGACGCCGATCTTAGGTTTAAAAGATGCAAATTATCCCATCAGTCACGTGTCCCCTGGTTGGTGCCGGAAGACATAGATATTCTCCATCTAGAAATTTCTGTAGGACTCAGCCTTGCTCCCCTTCCTGCCACGAGAAATACGGCCCAGGTGTGCATGGGGGAGAGATGCCCTGTGATTCGTCGTTTTGCTTTCAGTCTGATCTGAGTAGGGGGCACACAGGTCCCCGGCCGTCTCCCAGTCAACCTGCTGACAAGGAAGGCCTGACTCACACCTGGGAGCAGATGCCTGCGGAGGGCCCCACCCCATGTTCCCACCTCCCTCTCAGAAAGCACCCTGTGTCATCACACAGTGGCCTCACGTCTCGTGGGAGATCTTAGGGCCTCAGACTGTCCAGCGAGGGGACCCTGTCACAGTGCACACACACGGTGCTGGACGGTGTCCTCACATCTACTCAAACGAGCCCCTGGGGCCGCTGGCTCGCCGTCCGCCCCGGGCTCGGCCGCCTGGCATCAACAAAACGTGCTTCTTGCTGCTAGCACCCACGTATTGGTGTCTCTATTTCTTCTCAGTTTTAAAAATAAAGGACGGTCAAGCCTCACAGTCACGCAGCGAATGCCCACCCACTACCATGGCAGGATGGCAGAGCTGGGGAGCTGACCCCCGGGGCAGTGGCCGGCCCGCGCGTGCCTGTCACCCATGGCCCAGAAGGGGGGCTCCCTGTGCAGGGCGGCCTTCATCTCTGCCTGACCCGCACCCTTCTCTTGGTCACAGGTCCCCAGGTTCTTTTAGGGGAGCCTGAGGGATTCTGGTGGGTGGCCCCCACCCCCTCGAGCGCTCCCGTGACCCGGGGACCCTGCCGAACTCTTAGAATGAGTTCCTTCCCGCCTCCCTCTCTCTCTCTCTCTCTCTCTCTCTCTCTCTCTCTCTCTCGGGACCTGCAGCTGCTGTCCTGGTTGGAGGCATGAGCCCAGAGCTGCCGGGGGCCACCTTTGCCCCCACCTGGGGAGATCCTGCCCCAGAAGGAAGCCAGCCCAGAGGAAAGGGGCTATGAGACTTCTGATCACGTGAGGTTCTGGGTCCAGCCTGAGTGTCAGACCTCTCGGCCACGAGCTGCTAACGTCCCTTCCCCGGCCAACCCTGGCCAGTCTGGCCCCGAGGCAGCCCTGCAGCCCAGCCTCCGTGCCCACTTCTCCCGGAGACCGCCCTGGCTCCCTCCCGCAGCAGCGTCCGCCCATGGGTGAGGGTCTCTGCCCGGCAATGAGGGGAAGCAGAGCGCGCAGACACACCCGTGGAGTGAGTCGCAGGGCAAGCCCGGGGAGGAAGGCGCCGAGCACAGCCGGCCACATGCGGAGGTCTCCCTGAAATTTCTGGAGGACACTGGTCAAATCTTTGGTGACAGAAGGTAGATCGGGGGAAGTGGAGACAGGACCCCCAGGCTTCAGGGGCTGCCACGGAGTCCCACAGAGCCTGCAGAGCACAGGGTTGCGGAGCGGCCCTGGGACCAGGGAAGGGAACGTGGGCTGGGGGCTTCCCTGGAAGAGGGGGGCCGAGTCCTCCTCTCGTGGGGTTACTAGGGAGAGCCCACAAACCCTGGCTTGACCACCTCACTCTCAGCCTCGCCCCCGCTCACCGCCCCCCCCAGGCACCCCACGCACGTCCCCCGAGCATCACGTGCCCTCCCCTCAGCCTCCCCCTGCCCGCCCCAGCCCACACTAGGCTGCCTCCCCTGACTGTGATAGTGCATCGGGTCTGTGAGCTGGGGGGTGGGGGGCGACGTGCGTGCACCCCGGCCTGTGTGGGCGTGTCCCTGTGCGTGCACTTATTGCTGGGGGGCCGGGCCGAACCAGGCCAGCAGCGGGCAAGCAGAAGCACGCGGGGCCCCAGCCGCACGGACTGTGAGCGCTGCTGCCGTGCTCTCATCTCCCACAGCGGGGGCGCCTCCCAGGAGGTGCGGGGCAGGGCATGAGGACGACGGACCCCGCTGCACCCTGAACACACGCACCGCCTTCACCAGGCGGCCACACGAGCTCTTCAGAGGCTGTGGAAATGGCAGGGGGAGCTTCCCCACCTCGCAGCCCGGCCTCCCCCACCCACACACGCCAACACCGTCCCCAGGGCCGAGGACAAGCCACCTTGCTCACCGTCACTCACTGTCCGCGCACGAAGGATTTGGGGCCACTTACTGGGAGACCATCTGAATACTGTCCAAGAAAGAATTTCTTTCAAAGGAATATTTTCTTTTCTTTACTAAAATGTAATGGGCGTCTCAGGGCTCCTTAGAGGAAAGAACTGTCCAGGGCAAGAGCCGGGACTGGGATTCCCATCCAAAAGCTCCAGGCCCTCGGCCACTGAGCCAAGACACTTCCCGCAGCTCAGACGGCCGCCGGAACCCCTGGAAGCCGATGTGGAGGAAGCGGGGGCTCGGGGCGGCCGCGGGGCAGGACGCGGTCTCTTTCTGTCTGAGCTCCAGAGCCACGATTAAAAAGGACCCTGGGCTGAGGTTGTAGGCTGCACAACCTTCTCAGGGTGGGTGTCACCGCTGGGGGCCCAGCCTCTGACGCAGGTCATTTTCCCTTCTTCAAGAGCTTTCTGGGCTCACAGGTTCTACTCAGAAGGCTGAGTTCCTGATTGGCCCCATCCCTGACACAGACCCCGGGACCATGATGAGCAAACAGAGTAAGGCTGGAAGAAGTTTGGCCCCTAGGACGAACCCGTGTCCCCCGGCCCTGCCCCACTTCCTAGGCCCCGGGGGTGGCCTTTGCCCAGATGGGGCCTGGTTCCTAGTGGATACCTGCTCCAGAAATTGGCCCCAGCTTGTGGGCACATCCAGCCTAAAGCCATGCAGGCTGCCTCGGGGCAGGGGTGATGAGACAGCCCCCCTGTGGACCTCTGGACCCAGACCCCAGCCAGGGCTCAGGACAGAGCCTCTCTACACCACGGAGAACAGGGGGCACACCCCTGGCTGCTTGGGCTCAGGCCCAGGCTCTGCCCTTCCACCGGCCACTGGGCGCCCTCTTATCTGCTCATCTGCCGGGGGACAGGGCCTCTTTGTGTCCCCCTCACCCGCTCTGTGAAAGCTGGAGCTGGGCCTCGGTGGGTGAGGGGCTTCCCCGGGGGCCTCCCCCTGTGGTTGGGCGCGGCCGCCGGCTGAGCACCTGGACATCAGGGAGGCCGAGGGGAGCGCCTGTGGTCACACGGCTGTCCCAGCTGGCTGGGCTTGGGGTGGGCATGTGGGGCTGTGGGTCCTGGGCCAGCCTCTTCCACATGGGGGTCCTTGTCTGGGCTGAGCTTGGGCCACCAGGGCAGTCACCACCTGGGGTCCTGCCCACGGTCTCCAGCTGTGCTGAGCATTCAGCTTCGTGGGAGCCTGTCTTGCCTTGGGAGAGGCTTTAGGGCTTTTGTTCATTCACCAGGTGTCTACTAACAGCGAGGACCAGGAGCAGAACAGGGGCCTCTCAGGCTTTCTAGTCCTTTCCGCGTACACTATGCCGAGCAGGTGTCTTTGCTGATCCTTTCTACATGCAGCGCAGCTGGGGGAGGGTGCCGAGCCGGGGCCCCAGGGCCAGATCCCACATGGTTGCATTTATACTAGGAGCTGGGAATGGCTTTTTATCTTTTAATGATCGAGGGGGAGAAAACCCAAAGGAAGAATCTTATTTCATGATGACTAAAAATTATACGGGACTCAGGTTCTGGGGTTCACAGCATCCGGAGCCCCCCGAAGCCCACTTGGTCATGTCCCGCCGGTGGCGGCTTCCTGGGGCCGCCCGGCCCTCTGCCGGCCCCTGTAAGGGTCACCTGCTGCCCGCCCGGCGCCGTCTGGCCCGGCCTGGGGTCCTGTCATCTGCCCTGCGGCGTCTGTGTGGTCAGTGGGGGGTGGGGGCAGGAACCAGCAGCACTCCCGCTCCAGGGGGTCCACGTGCAGGTGGACATGGGGGCCAGTCTCATGTTGGGTCACCCTTTCAATGGGGGGAGAGCCGAGGCCAGGACCCGGGGGCACCAACACCTCCAGCAGCTGTGGGACATGGATGTGAACGCAGCTCATCAATCGAAAAGCTGCTTGATCAGCTTCTCGGGCGGCAGGCTGTGGTGAGGACCTGCGTTTTCCTCTCCTGAGGACGAGGGGTGTGCCGAGTCCCCAGCGAGGTGCAGCATTTCACACTGGCCCGGGAGCTGCCTCAGGCAGGGATGAGGCAGGAGGGTGGGTGAGGGACGGGCAGCGGCAGGAGGCAGGCCTCCCCCGGGGCCTCAGCGTGGGCAGGATTCCCACAGGGGGCTCTCTGGGCAGGTGCCCAGGAGAGAGGCCCGGGCTCTGCCTCTCCTTCTGTCCTGGGCCCCACGGGCAGGGCCACCAGCTGGGGGTCCCGGGGCCTGAGGTGGCTGAAGCGACTTCTGGGTGTGCAGGTGCAGGAACTTGGCAGGCCATGTGCTGGGCGCCCGCAGGGGCCACCAGACCCACTGCTTAGGTCATCAGCATAGCATGGACGCCTGGCACTGGGAAGGGCCTTCTGGGGCCAAGGTCACCTTCAAGGAGAAAGTGGAACAAAGCCTGGGGAGGGGGTCTGCCTTGTTGGGAGCAGGCAGGATGCGGGCTGCAGCCCCAGACCCCGGCTTGCACGGGCTCCAGGATGCACTTCCCAGCCACACTCTGGCGTGGAAGCGAACGTGTGTTTTCACAGTCCGCTGCGAGGGCTGGGGGGCGCGGGCCGCCGGAGCTCTGCGGCCCCAGGGAGGGCACCTCGGAGGAGCCCACACTCGGAGGAGGGCAGGCGGGCCTCTGGGTCCCGGCCTCAGGTGGGGTCAGCCGGTCAGGGGCCCGGGTGGGGCAGGGGCTTTGCTTACTTGGAGCTGACCAGACCGCGCTGGGCCTCCATGTGGCCGCCGCCGTGGCCTCCGCTGTGGCCTCCGTGTGGCCGCCGTGGCCTCCAGCCTGGCTGACGGCGCGATCAATGCACAGCTACAGCTGGTTGAAGGGGACCAAATCCATTGAACAGTTGATTTGGTTCCATTTTACCAGCTTTAGCAAAGCATTTGGCTCCAGGATCCATGGAAGCAGCGGCGTGGATGTGATGTCCGGACGCGGTGGGGAGCCCCGGCTCTGCCCCCACCTCCCCTGCAGGGCCCGCCATGGCTGAGGGACCCTGATGCCCTGCAGGGACTGAACATGAGAGGGAAGGGCCAGGGTGGGGTGGGGGCCCCACAGTAGACACACGGGCTCACACACACGCATGCACACACGCACACTTGGGGAGGCCCTGGGCACGGGGGCTCCATCCCCTGGCAAGGGTGCCCCTGCCTCTCACGGTTTCTCAGGCACCGTGGCACCTGCCACTGGTCTCAGTCCTGGGGCACAGCCGAGGCCACCAGAGCCCTGCCCTCAGGGGGCTAACAGCCCATGGACAGAGACCCCTGCCCCTGCCCGGATCACGCTCCCAGCTGCAGCTGAGGCAGGACAGGCCTGGAGTTAACCGTGAGCCTGGCCCAGGAGGGGTGGGTGGGCTGGGACACTGCGAGGGCTCTGCAGGGCGGCTGGAATTCTCCAGGGAAGTCCCCCTCGTGCGGCTGTGGCAGGTGAAGAAGGACAGGGAGCCCTACACAGCTGACCCCAACCGTGCGGCCTGTCGGGGCTGCAGGGATCATCCCCTCGGCTCCCGGGAGCAGGCCTGCAGTCCACGTAAGGACAGTGCCGGAAAGCCAAGCCCGCACAGGCCTCATCACCCTCAGTGACTCTGACAGAGCAAGTTCCTTTTTAGAAAATTGGTTTTCCTGCCAGCACCCGATTCATCAGCATCAATGACAAGGGGGGACAGCAGCTTCGGCGGTGCCAGGGACATGGCGTCCTGGGTGTGTGGACTTCCCTCCGAGCACAGGCCGGCCTGACAGCGAGGGGTGACTGCCTCCTTCAGGCCCTGCTCTCTCTGCCCTGCCCTCCTGATGCTGCAGGGCAGACGCTCAGCCGGCCGGGCTGGACTGCAGGGGCGAACCCACCCCCCACGACCGCTCCGGGTGCATCAGAGCCCAAAGACCCCAAGACCTCGGCCCCCACCACCCCTGCCACCACACCCTTCCTCCAAGACATGAACGAGTCAGTGCCACGGGGTCCTTCCTCTGCGAACAGCCCTGGCCTTTCACCTCCAGACCAGCCCCCAAAGTTCACCAGGAGCCCAAGGGCGCCCCGACCCTTCCAGCCTCTCATCCCATGACCCACGGATGGCCCTGGCCCCTGATGGCCCTGGAGGACGGGGAGCTGGCCAGATCCCAGCTCTGCAAACACCCTTGCCTTTTGGCTCCAGAGCATGGGGAGGGGGCACCCCAAGGATTCCCAGAGCCCGCCCTTCCCCTGCCCTCCAGAGAAGACGGTGCAGATGGAGCGACTGGGCCGGCACTCAGCCCGCTGTGGACAATCTTGATGAAGCGGCCGCTGCCACGGGCGGACACCATCACTCTGGGATCTGTCATTCCCAAGTCCAAGCACACGCCTCAACCCAGTGGGCAGCCCAGCCCTCCCAACCGTGCCGCCTCTGCCCTTTGACCCCCTCACGGCTCTTGGAAGTCTGCCCCTGGGTCTCTAAGTCTGGAGGAATTGCCCTAAAATAACAGACCTGTGCTTCCACACGGACATCCCTACTGCCCCGCGGGGGGCCGTCCCAGCACAGCCCCCAGCCGTCAGTCCACCCCCAGCTCGGCCCAGAGCGCCCAGCGGGGGCTCGAGGTGGAGCTTTCCCTTCTTGTCTGTGAGCAGCTGGGCGCTTCGGCCCCAGAAGCCAGCAGCGTGGCCGGGCGGCCTTGGCCAGCTTGTCCTGGCGTGCGCGAATCGAAGCCCCACACGCCAGGTGCTGCCATCCCGTCGTCCCGGTGCGGAGGGCACTGGGCTCGGGACGCCTCCCCGTGGCCGTCCTCCCCGGAGTGTGGAGGTCCGGCCGCCCACTCCCGCGCCCCCACGTGGCCTTGTCTGGGGAATGTTCAGGCAACTCTTTGTTGAGCGAGTGACTAGCACACATGACTACAGGTCTGAGGGGCTTTCGGGGTCTGCGTCTGCAGCACGGTCCCAGCGTGAGCAGTCCCTGTGTCTCTGACTCAGTTGCCTGGTGACTGTTTTAACTCAATTTGGCAGATTTTCTGCATTCCCCCACCCTGGGCATCCTGGGGTCTCAGCCTCCATTGGAGGCTCCCGGCTTCCCCACGAGCCCCAAAGCCTCCTGAGCAGCTAGCCCATGGCTCAGCCTAGGTGCCTCTCAAACCCACCCACCCAGGAGCCCCTAGCCTGGCTCAGCCCCTGCCACTCACCTCCACCCAGCGGTCTCCGGAACCCCAGCAGCCCCTCTCACCGCCCCTGCCCTGGGGGCCTCTGACCCCAGGCCAGCAGGGAGTGCCAAGGGGCTGGACCCAGAGGACAGCGGAGAAGCGGCCAAGGCCGGGGCCAAGACTTCACCATGACTTGCAAATGCGTCACCAGGTCTGCCTTTACACACCCGATGCCTCCCGCCAGAAGGTGAGCTTGCCCAGGGCAGGGACTGCGTCGCAGGCTGCAGGGCCTGGCAGAGAGACGGGCCCTGAGTCCCTGGTGAATTTACTGTTGGCCGGCCTGGCAGGCAGTGGCTTCCTCAGGACCCTCTCCCCGGGCCCCGGGCCTGTCTTTCCACGAGGGTGAGACAGAGCCAGGCCACAGCTAACACAGTTTGTGCATTTTATGAACCACGCAATTAAATAGGTTTTAAAACATCTGCTGATGGCATCGTCCTGTACAGGGAAGTACACTCAGCATTTTGAAGCCGCGATGGATGCTAGATGTGGGGAAACACTGCGGAAGACTCCAGCAGCCCTGTTACAATCGGTACAAAATTAGACGCGATGAGCGAATATGTCCAGTTAGTTCTAATTGGAGCAAACCACGACGTAGGCGAAGGCTCGGTGCGTTCGCCCACACTCGCGGCTAGCCTTGCCCGGAGAGGTCCCCAGTGGGGCAGTGGTGCCAGCAACACCAGGGCCAGAGGGCTGTAGGAGCACTGCGCTGCCCCCAAATGCTCCCCGGGCCCGAGCAGCAGCCGGCACTTCTTCCAGGAAGCCTCCCTGCGTTTGATACAGGCCCTAGACTCAGAGTGAGGGCAGAGTGAGCCGCTGAAGCTCTCTAGGCGACCTGGGCCGTACCAGGCTGCCCCTGCACCCTAAGCTGTCCCTAGGTCTGAGCCACCATTTGGGGGCACTTAGGGGGCTTCCTCAGTCTCTCTGAGCCTCAGTTTCCCCACGTGGGAGTGCCAGCCACACACAGTCCATAGTTGTTGCCATCCTGTGCCCCTTCACCTCTGTCACGACTTTCCCAGCTCAGACGGGCCCAGCACCCCAGGACACGGCACTCACTGAGGGCAAAGCCCACCGGACTCCCCCAGAAGAAGGGTGATGGCCTGCACCCTGGGCGAGGTGGCACCAACCTCCAGCCTCTGTTCAAGGACAACCACCAGCAGAGACACACGTGCAGCTGGAGACGCTGCCCCCGGAGGCCAGGAGCAGGGCGGACAGGAAGCTGCTCCCCACCAGTCATCACGGAGACGGGGCACCCAGGACCACGGCAGCGGCATCCCACCCAGGGGGGCAGCTCGCAGCCAAGACAGAGCCCTGCACTCCCACCCGCCCCAGAGGGTATCAACGACTCCTATCTGGATGCCTCTTGTGTTTTTTACTATGAAGCTTTTAAAATTTAAGAATCAGTAACCTAATATTTCTCCAGCAGCAACGTTACCTATTAGCACTCAGATTCGCCACTAAATTAATTTTTAATTCCAGATTTTGGTTAATTATTAAAATAACTAGCAAAGAACTACAGTTAGCCCCAGGAGCGTGAGCAGCCCCAGCCAGGACCGTGCCGAAGGAGCCTTCCCACGGCTTCCGTTCGGGCTGCTGGGTCCCCACAGAGGAGTCTCCAGAGAGACCCACAGCTAAGAGACGCAAAAGGAAACCCCACCCCCAAACATTTCTCATTCTTACCAACTGACCCAGCCGGATGCCAACCAAGACCTGCTCAGCCCAGTTCCATAACTTTTCTGTCTACTAAAAAAAAATATGTATTATTTCTCAACACTGATAAAAGTTTAATACGGAGTTGCCCGGGTTTTTAATAAACTTGTCAGCAAAAGAGCAGGGCAAATTGATGGGGCCCCTCCTAGAGATAAATTTCTCCTCAAATAGACCCGAAGAGCAGGGGGACAGGGCAAGGGGGGAGGCAGGGCAAGAGGGGGACGCACGATTGTTTTGCTGTTCTTTGCAGAAATGGTGAGATGGATTTCTGTGTCTTATTATCTCACAGATAGGGCCGGGGTAAACGCTGGTATAATTTCAGGAAAGCAAGCTTCCTGGCTAAGAACCAGATCAGAGAGCTCTGAGGTCAGGGAAGGGTGCAGCTCGGGAGCGAATTCACGGCCAGTGTGCTCCGAGATAAGTGCGAGCCACTCGGCACCACGGCCCCTCCGTGGAGCCCTCGTGGCACCCCCTCCACCTGCAGAGATGGATCCCGGCAACCGCCAGAGCACAGAGCGCAGGGAAGACAGGCACGGCTGGGGCCGGTAAGTGAGCAAGAGGACGACACTCCCACAGACTGTGCCTATCTGTCCCTAAATTCTGCCAGCTTGGCGAGGTCTTCCAGCACGCGGAGACGTGGGACGCATAGCCACCTGCGTCCAGGCCGGGAGGGGCACCTCGTGCTTTGAGGGGTATTGGGCAGGTGCTTTTATTCCCTCGCTCAAGGTCATCTGCTCCACTGGCTGCAGAGCGGTTTGAAACTCCACCCTTAGAGACCCGCTTCTTGGGTTAAAGATGGAGGGAAGGCAAGATCCCCTGGGAAGCTGCTGGCCTACAAGCTCCGGGCCTTGGGGCATGCAGCTGTGTGTGTGCGGCGCAGGAGGTGACAGCCAGGGACAGACAAGGAGGTTAGGAGGGAGCCCCAGCGACCGCGTCCATCCTGCAGGGCCG